CAGCGTAGACCTGCCCTGAGTTTGTGACAATGCCATAGCTACTAGGCTGAGAAGGTTTAGAAGAATGAAGTAGGTAGAACCAAAGGCACAAGGCCTCCAGACAAACTGAAGGGCAATGAGATATACAGCTGTTATTAAGTTTGCTTCTTTGACCTTATTCAAGATGGTGTTGTAAATAAAACACAAGTACAACATTACTGTAAATAATACACAGGAAAAAGCTCTCCAGGTTTTGAGCTGCCATTTTGTGACGATTGCAGCTTCTATTTATTCCCTACTGTACCATAACAACAATAACCACTATAGAAGACCTTCAGTACTTTTTGTTCTTTTTCTTTTTTCATTTCTTTTCCTCTTTCTTTTTTGTAATGAAAGGTATGCAAGGTAACCAACTGTATGTTTAGGGAAGAGGCAGGATGACCAGATGTCCTCACCGCAAAGGAGTGCAAGGCACCACAAAATGCAGGACATTCAAGAAAAATGTAGGGTGTTGCAGAACAAAAGCTAAAAACACATATAAATATAAATTTATGCTTATTATTCAAGCTCAACATGGAGGACATTTTGAAATTCCTCCTGACATCCAAGTATGTCTGCTTAGCTTCCAATATCAGACAGAATCTTGTGCCTTTGGGGTATTTAGGACTCCATGGGGGGGGGCTAAATATTTATTTGCAGGGCAATGTCCTCATTCCCACCCACTGGATGGAACTATTTCCTCACTCCTCCAGCCTCTTTTCCCCCTCTGTTGTTTTACTTACTGTCTATCCATCTGAGCAGATTTCCCCCTTTCCACCTAGTTTTATTGCATTATTTGCTGCAGACACACTGCTTCACCATGACACCAGAAGTCTGTGTTTCTCCCGCTCTTCTACCCATGCCAAGTCTGCTAAAAACACACACAACCCTTCCAGCTAGACAGAGGATGAGGAGGAAAGCAGGGGAGCAGGCATTAAAAGACTTTGGAAAAAATTAACTGTAGTATGCCTTTCTTGTTGTTGTGTGCCTTCAAATTCCTTCCGACTCATGGCAACCCCAAGGTGAACCTATCATGGAGTTTTCTTGGCATGTTTCTTCAGATGTGCTTTGGCATTGCCATCCTCTGAGGCTGAGCGAGTGTGACTTGCCCAACATTTCCCAGAGGGTTTACATAGCTGAGCCAGGATTTGTACCCTAGTGTGCAGAGTCACAGTCCTTGGTCCACACTGGCTCTTAAGTCCTATGCATGCTGTTTCCTCCTTAGATGTATGTTGGAAATGACTCTGGGAGATTGGAATTGCCGACTATAAGGGCCACTCCTACCTACCAAATGTTACTGCTTTGTACAGAATTGATATCCGGAACTTGTATTCTCAGAGTTTTTCGTGAATAGGAGATTAGTGCTCACTTAGTGATCTAATTATAACTGAGCGGACGTTCCTCTGACAAATCCTGTAGCACTCCCCCAGGACAATGTGGGTATAATAGGGTCTTATCCATCATTAGTGTCTGATAAATCTCTGAACCCTTTTCAAGGAATTAGTTGGCACATGGCAATATTGTAATGCTCTCTCCATTATCCACCTTTTGTTCAATAGCCTAAGTTTAAGCATTGCAAGGCCTCATCCAAACTTACTTTTCTAAGATTTTTCAGGGATTTTTTTTTCATCCTTGGCTTAGTAATTATATTGCCCACATTTTCCTCCCGAAGGATGCTCAATATCCTTTAGCAGCAGAAGTGAGCAATCTTCAAAATTACAGAGAGATTAAGGTTTGTACATGCAATTTACCTTGGATAGGCAGAGGGTTGCAAAAGTAAAATAGACACTTGTGGAGCACACGGTAATTTTCCCATTGAAGCATGCATTCCAAAAAGGGCAGCCAGGCAATCAGAAGAGGTCAATGGCTCTGTTATGGTGCGAAACAAATAAACATAAAGGAATGAAACCACTCCACTAACACCCCAAAATGCTTAAAGATAGGATGGCTGAATTCACAAAGGTTTGATGGCCTTTTCTAAATCAGATGTTTAGCTGCTTTGGACTCAGCAAATGCCTCACATTATTGGAGCAAGTCCAGTATAGCGTGCAAAGTTAAATGACTGTCCTTTCTTCTGACCTTTTTTTGTAATAATAGATACCAACAACAAAGAATCACAACTGAGTGAATTCAGCAAAGCCCTTTAAAAAAACAGGTTTATTGTGGCATCAGATTTTGCAGATATAGTCCTTCAGGCTCTAGTATTGTCATCAAGTTGGTAGAAGTTTTGGGAAGGGGAATTTCCTGGATTTCTGAAACCTTCATTTATCATAGGTGATCAGCTTATGACCTTCCAAATCTTTTTCAACTGCAATTGCCACTGTCTTTTAAAATTTAATTTATATCCCACATTTCTCCCAAATGGAATTCAATGTGGCTCACAATAGAAGTGAAAACAATATTCAGTTAAAACAATAGATACTACAATGGTTAAAAACCAATTAAATAAGCACTCATTTTTTTAAAAAAATACTTTAAAAGGCATTTAAAACATAATAATGTTGATGGATGTACAGCATCCATCAATTAAAAGATCTTCAGAATCAGCTGGCTAACTGTCAAATGTTTGGGTAAATGAAAAATTGGAACAGTTAATAAGGAAGGTCATAGGTGAAAGTGCAAAGACAGATCTGATGTTGAACATAAAGAAAACAAAAATAATGACCACAGAAGAAATACACAAATTCAATCTAAAAAACAAGGAAATTGAAATAGTTAAAGAATTCCCATATTTAGGATCAAACATTGACCAGATTGGAGACTGCACTCAAGAAATACCGTAAGAATAAGACTAGGAATGGGAAGGGCAGCTATGAAAAAAGTCAGAATCGTTCAGGCCATTGTATTCCCAATTACATGTACAGATGCAAGAGCTGGACAGTGAAGGAAGCAGACAGAAAATCAACTCATTTGAAATGTGGTGCTGGAGAAGAGTACTTAGGATACCATGGACAGCCAAGAAGATAAACAGATGGGTTCTTGAGCAGATCAGACCAGAGCTCTCCTCGGAAGCAAAGATGATCAAGTTGAGACTATCGTACTTTGGCCACATAATGAGAAGGCATGGATCACTAGAAAAAACAATGCTAGGAAAGGAGAGGGTAGAAAAAAGAGAGGAAGACCACAGACCAGATGGATAAACTCGATCGGGGGATTATGGGGAAGAGCAACCTAACGTGAACACCAAATGGTGTTTTCTTGGCAAGATTTGTTCAGAGGAGGTTTGCCATTGTCTTCCCCTGAGGCTGAGAGTATGTGACTTGCCCAAGGTTACCCAGTGGGTTTCATGGCCGAGCAGGAATCAACCCCTGGCCTCCAGAGTCATAGTGCAACACTCAAAACTACTACACCACACTGGCATAGTATTCTCACATAGAATACTACAGGAAAACAAACTGAACTTTTTTTTAAAAAAAAAATAAGCTTTTATCTTAGTGCATAAAACACAAATCTAAATTGAGCAATTAGATTTTAATTTATTCAGAAAAAAAAGTGGTGACTCATGATTTGTCAATCAGGGACACAAGCCACTTTGTTGCACTGCCTGAAATTCCATTTCGCACCCCCTGAGGATATGGCACCCCTGGTTAGGAACCCCTGCTCTAGACCCATCAACCAGAAGGCATGGTCCACCTCACAAGAGTGATGCAATCTACCATAGTTTGTCTGCATCTTAGAAGAAAGAAAAGAGCAGAAGCTAATTGTGGAACAGGGAGACAGTGAAACTGCAGCTCTGAATGGGATTGAAAGTGAACTTTGATTGGAGCTGAGAAATATGGCAGGAGCTCGGGTCGGGCTATAAAAGTTGTAGAGTTGTAGTCTATAAAAGTGTTGAATTTTGTTGGTGTGGTGTGCTTGAAAATCCAGTAGAGCCAGGGAAAAATCCAAAATTCTAAAAGTAGAGCTTTATTGTTTCAAAAAGTAAAAATAAGCAAAGAAAAATACAGTCCACCAGTCCACCATCATGCTAATGTGGTTGAACAAAAGAGTTACAGATCCATGTTTCCAGATCCAGAAGTTACATTATAAAAGCAATATAAGCATATTATAGTCCAAGAATTAACTCCATAGTTAGATCCATTGCGAACACACACACAAACAGGAAGAATGCAAGAAATATAAACAATTCTAGACAAAGGGATTTCTCAGCCCTGCCCTTCCTCCACCTTCTGGGTGTTAACCTTATGTTGATTGGATGTTATGTGTATGATGTTTGTTAACCCAGCCCCTTGCTGTCCATCTTCCACCACGTGTCTCCTTTCCCAGGACCTATTGATGTTTTGGATTTTGTTATCTGTTCTTGGCTGTCTTTCCCAGCTAGGAACATATGATGTTATGACTCTCTGGCCACCTGGACTGGGCTGTCTTTGTTTGCCTAGATGTTGTTCTCATGAGGAAAATCCCAGACACACATCTCTACATTTCAACTTTGACTGTATAACCCATCTATATTCTAACAAAAAGTAACTCTCCTGAGTTCTGGCTTTGAGGCTAAAAAACATCTTTTGAGATGCTTCAGCCACCTCTTTGCAGAGCTCATTTGGGGTGGTGGGTTTTCTGTGGACCAGAAGTCCTGTGGTGTTTGCCTCCACATCTCCTCTTCTACTTGTAGCCAGCCTAAATCCTGAAGGCACCAGATCCTGTCTCACCTTGGAAGCTAAGTTGATCCTGTGTGTCTCCAAGTAGTTTCCAACTTATGGTAACCCTAAGATGAACCCATCATGGTGTTTTGTTGTCAAGATTTGTCCAGAGGGGGTTGGCCATTGCCTTCCTCTGAGGCTGAGAGAGTGTGACCTGCCCACTCATCCAAATGGGTTTCCATGGCTGAGTGGAGATTTGATCCTTGTTCTCCAGAGTGCTAGTCCTACACTCAAACCACTATACCACACTGGAAGCTAAGTAAGGTCAGACAGATAGTAAGCTAAGGTATGACCCTGCATAGTATTTGGAAAGGAGATTTCCAGGGAATATCACATGCTGTATGCTGTATGGTGCAGTGGTTTGAGTGTCAGACTAGGACTCTGGAGATCAGGGTTCAATTCCCAGCTCAACCATGAAATCCACTGGGTGACCTTGGGCAAGTCACATGCCCTCAGCCTCAGGGGAAGGCAATGGCAAATCTCCTCTGAATAAATTTTGCCAAGAAAATTTGTTTGCCTTAGGGTCACCATAAGTTAGAAATGACTTGAAGCCACACAACAACAGCAAGAACAGATATCCAGAAGAAAGCAATGACCAACCTCCTCTGAATAAATTTTGCCAAGAAAACCCCATGATTCGTTTGCCTTAGGGTCACCATAAGTTAGAAATGACTTGAAGCTACACAACAACAGCAAGAACAGATATCCAGAAGAAGACAATGACCAACCTCCTCAAAATAAATGTTGCCAAGAAAACCCTATGACAGAGTTGCTGTACATCAATGTCGACATGGAGGCACTTAGCAACAGCAACTTTTGGTTTGTATTTTTGTAGTCAAACGCAGATATTCCTGAAATGCTATGAGCTTCCAGGAATCTCATTCTCCATAGGAAATGAACCCTGGGTAAGTCCTATACCCCTGAAGCTTCTCATTGCTTATGGGGAAAGTGGGGAGTGTGCAACATTATGATGGAATTGCCTTTAAGGCATCCTTTCAGTGCTTCCAGTGGGAAAGAAGACCTATGCCTCTGCAGGTTACCTATCTGCTATACCAGGGGTAGGCAACCTTTCCCCTTTAAGGGCCGAGGGA